GACCGGTTGTTCCGCCGTTTGGTCTATTTGCATATTAGCCTTTTATTATATAGGTTGGCGAAAGGCAGACTGCTTTCCCTCATTGTTCCTATGGGGCAATTAGAAAAAGGTCAGGAGCAAGGATGTCTGCTCTCATCATTCCATTTAACGTTGTACTAGAATTTCTAACCAGGGAAGTTAGGCAAGAAAATGTAAAAGTATTCAGATTGTAAAGGAAAAAGTAAAACCATCACTATTCACAAGTGACGACCTTGTACATAGAAAACTCTAAGGAATTCACTAAAAAACTATTGGAGCTAATAAGTTCAGCAAGATACAAGATCAATATATTTTTTAAAATATACAAAAATCAGTTTTATTTCTACACACTAGCAAGGAAAAGTCTGAAAAATCTAAAAAAGAATTTCCTTTATAGTAGCATCAAAAAGAATAAAACACGTAGGGATAAATTTAACAAAAGAACATAAAATTTGTACTCTGAAACCTATATAATATTATTAAAGGAATTAAAGACATACATAAATGGAAAAACATTCCATGTGTGTGAATTGGAAGACTTTAATATTGTTAAAATGGCAGTACTCCTCCAAATTTATCTACAGATTTAATACAATTTCTATCAAAGTTCCAGGTGCCTTCTTTGCAGAAATTGAAAAACTGACCCTAAAATTCATATGGAAATGCAGGGGACTCAGAATAGCCAAAAGCAGTCTTGAAAAAGAACAGGGTTAGAGGATTCACTTCCTGATGTCGAAACTTACTACACAGTAATCAGGAAAAATGTGGCACTGGCATAAGAACAGACATACTAGTATAGATCAATGGGATAGAATGGAAGACCCAGAGATAAGCCCTCACATTATAGTCCATTTGATTTTTTTTTTTTTTACCAGAGTCACAGGACAGTTTTAAGGGAGAAAATAGTGCTGGGACAACTGGGACACCCCACATCGATTCAAAAACATTGAAGTTGAACCCCCTTTCTCACAAACTTCCTATCTAATAAAAAAGAGAAATATGCAAAATTGACTATTTGCTTCGAATAGTAAGAATGGCCGCCCCCAT